CGTCGGCGCACATCCCGGTGCCAGCGCAGAGGTGAGCCAGGGTCCCGCGCGCCAGGCCGAGGTGGGCGTGCGCACACGGGCGCTGGCGTGTGCAGGGGTGGTGGGTGGGGCGCGGGCACGTGCCATTTTGAACCCCACCCTGCGGTGGGGCTCTTGGTGGAGGACAGGTCTGGGCCCAGATCTGGACTTTGTGTCCCCCTCCCTAGCTCTCCAGCGCTGGAGGAGTTGAGCACAAGTTAGCAATATAGCGCTCCTTGTGCCCCCCAAGCCCTGGGGCCAGAGCGCAGGGCTGGGAGGGGGCCCCTGTCAATCTGTGCAGTAGAGGCTGCCAGGCTGGCGTGAGGTTGACGGTGCAGGAATCCCAGGGCTTCTGACTGCCGGCTCCTGCCCTGCCTGAAACCCTCCTGGGTGCCCCACACCCGGGGCTGGCTTCTCAGGTAGAGGCGGGCTCTGGCCTGGCCTGTTGGGGCCTGGGGACTCTCTGCTTGCGCTTGGAGCCCAGTCTGCCCTAGCTGCTGCCGACTGCTGGCTGCTCCCTCCCCTCCAGGCCTGGCATGGGCCCGCAGCTGCTGTTGCACAACGCTGGTTAATGTGTGATTTGGGGGAGGAGGGCTGGGTTTGGCCTGGCCTGGTTGAGGGGAGGCGGCGCTCAGACCCCTGTCCGGCTCCAGGCCCTGAAGAAGTCACTGTGGAACAAAGCCCAGGCTGCAGAGAACTCAGACTTTGGGGAGACCCCAGCCCAGGCCATGTTCCCAGAGGTTCCTGGAGATCTGGGGCTCTGTAACCTGAGCTGGGGGGTGGAGATGGGCCTCCGGCCCAGTGCCTGGAGGGAGGGAGCGGGCGCCTGATCGCGCGCTTGTGCACGCACACGTGTGCATGCACGCACGCGTGCGCAGGGCCAGGAGAGGTGCCTGAAGTATTTGCTGGATGCCACCCGCGTCTCTTCCAGAGACCCCCCAGGAAAATCCCGGCTGGACGAGGTCATGGCTGCGGCAGCCCTCACCAGTCTGTCCACCAGCACCCTCCTTCTGGGGGCCCCAGCTGCAGCCTGTAGCCCAGGTGAGACTTGGACACCCGGCCTGGGTAGGGAGGCAGGACCACTGTCTTTCCAGGACACCGTAGTTGCCTCCCCCTTGGGGCAAGCAGTTGCCCTTTGCCTGGAAGACCACTTTGTGAATAGATCTCTCCAGGCCTGAAATAGACCTCAGGATCCCCAGTGCCTCTCACTGAGGCCAAAGCCAGTGTCACAGGTGTGCGGGCCTCTCTGATCCGTTTCCACCTGGCGGGCTGGGCATCCCCACACAGGATGTCTCTGCTTATCCTTCCCTGTGCTGCGCCAGCTTCTCCTGGCCACCGCCTTCCCACCAAGCTCACCAGTGAACAGGCAAACAGGTGGAGGCCCAGAGTTAAGGGCCCTGTGGCGGCGGGTTCTGTGGAGCAGGCTGAGCCCGCTAAAAGCCCTAACACGGGTGCTGGTGTGTCCCCACAGAGCCTGGCTTGGAGCCCTGGAAGGAGGCCCTGGTGCGGCCACTGGGCAGCTGCAGCAGCAGCGGAGACTGGGGCTGGGACCTGGCCAGTGACCGGTCCTCTCCGTCTATCCCTTCACCCCCACTGCCCTCCGAGGCAGCCCATTTCCTATTCGGGGAACCTGCCCCAAAGAAGAGAAAGGTGAGCCTGAGGCAGCCCTCAGGGCAGGGTGGACGTGGTGGCCACGCCTGACCACCAGCCCCTGTCGCCCAGAGCTCCGTGCGGGTCCTGTTCCAGTGTCTGTGGAAGCGGTGTGGGAAAGTGCTGAGCACGGCCTCCGGGATGCAGAGACACATCCGCCTGGTGCACCTGGGGTGCGATGGGGCTGGCCGGTGGGGGCGGGGCAGCCCCCAGTAGCAAAGTGCTTCAGCTTCCCACCCCCCGCCCCCTCCGGCCGTGTCCCCAGCAGGCGGCAGGCAGAGCCTGAGCAGAGCGACGGGGAGGAGGACTTCTACTACACAGAGTTGGACGTTGGCATGGATGTGCTGACAGACGGGCTGTCCAGCCTGTCTCCAGCGTCCCCCGCGGCCTCCGTGCCCCCCGCCTCCCCCCGCCTGGAGCTGCCAGAGCCTCGGACCCTGTCCAGCCTGCTGCACCCGCTGGCCCTGCCCCCAGTTCCGGTGCTGAGCCCCGTGGCACCCCGCGAGGCGCGCCGAGGTGACGACGCCTACCAGGTGGGTGAGGCCACAGGCAGCAGCTCGGGGTGAGTCTCGGGGTGCTCGGGACGGGGGAGAGGACACGCCTGTGTCTCCTCTCAGGGCTGCCTGGCCCCCACCCGCCCGGAGCCACAGCCGACCACCGTCAGGACCTGTGTGCCGACCCTGCCCTCCAGACTCGGCGCCAGCCCAAGGTGCGTGCGTGTGGAGGGGCCAGGGCAGGCCTCGGGCGGAGGCTCCCAGCCCCGCATCAGCCCCCGTCTCCTCTGCGTCCCCCCAGGAAGCCCCGAGGTGATGCCAAGAAGTGCCGGAAGGTGTATGGCATGGATCACAGGCACCTGTGGTGCACAGCCTGCCGCTGGAAGAAGGCGTGCCAGCGCTTCCT